ATGTAAATATTAGCATTTTAGCTCAATAGCTTCCAGGTCATGTGACCTATTGACTCCAAATCAGGTCAGGATCATAGTCCTCCACTAGCTGCAGGGGGTACACCTCTTCTTTTATCATTAAAGTGTTTTAAGTATTTTTAATGAATTTTTTATATGTAAATATTAGCATTTTAGCTCAATAGCTTCCAGGTCATGTGATCTATTGACTCCAAATCAGGTCAGGATCATAGTCCTCCCTTAGCTGCAGGGGGTACACCTCTTTTTTGTCATTTAAGTGTTTTAAGTATTTTTAATGAATTTTTAAAGGCAAATATTAGCATTTTAGCTCAATAGCTTCCAGGTCATGTGATCTATTGACTCCAAATCAGGTCAGGATCATAGTCCTCCCTTAGCTGCAGGGGGTACACCTCTTTTTTGTCATTTAAGTATTTTTAAGTATTTTTAATGAATTTTTATATGTAAATATTAGCATTTTAGCTCAATAGCTTCCAGGTCATGTGACCTATTGACTCCAAATCAGGTCAGGATCATAGTCCTCCACTAGCTGCAGGGGGTACACCTCTTCTTTTACCATTAAAGTGTTTTAAGTATTTTTAATGAATTTTAAAAGGCAAATATTAGCATTTTAGCTCAATAGCTTCCAGGTCATGTGACCTATTGACTCCAAATCAGGTCAGGATCATAGTCCTCCACTAGCTGCAGGGGGTACACCTCTTCTTTTACCATTAAAGTGTTTTAAGTATTTTTAATGAATTTTTAAAGGCAAATATTAGCATTTTAGCTCAATAGCTTCCAGGTCATGTGACCTATTGACTCCAAATCAGGTCAGGATCATAGTCCTCCACTAGCTGCAGGGGGTACACCTCTTCTTTTATCATTAAAGTGTTTTAAGTATTTTTAATGAATTTTTATATGTAAATATTAGCATTTTAGCTCAATAGCTTCCAGGTCATGTGATCTATTGACTCCAAATCAGGTCAGGATCATAGTCCTCCACTAGCTGCAGGGGGTACACCTCTTCTTTTACCATTAAAGTGTTTTAAGTATTTTTAATGAATTTTTAAAGGCAAATATTAGCATTTTAGCTCAATAGCTTCCAGGTCATGTGATCTATTGACTCCAAATCAGGTCAGGATCATAGTCCTCCCTTAGCTGCAGGGGGTACACCTCTTTTTTGTCATTTAAGTATTTTTAAGTATTTTTAATGAATTTTTAAAGGCAAATATTAGCATTTTAGCTCAATAGCTTCCAGGTCATGTGATCTATTGACTCCAAATCAGGTCAGGGTCATAGTCCTCCCTTATCTGCAGGGGGTACACCTCTTTTTTGTCATTTAAGTATTTTTAAGTATTTTTAATGAATTTTTATATGTAAATATTAGAATTTTAGCTCAATAGCTTCCAGGTCATGTGACCTATTGACTCCAAATCAGGTCAGGATCATAGTCCTCCACTAGCTGCAGGGGGTACACCTCTTCTTTTACCATTAAAGTGTTTTAAGTATTTTTAATGAATTTTTAAAGGCAAATATTAGCATTTTAGCTCAATAGCTTCCAGGTCATGTGACCTATTGACTCCAAATCAGGTCAGGATCATAGTCCTCCACTAGCTGCAGGGGGTACACCTCTTCTTTTATCATTAAAGTGTTTTAAGTATTTTTAATGAATTTTTATATGTAAATATTAGCATTTTAGCTCAATAGCTTCCAGGTCATGTGATCTATTGACTCCAAATCAGGTCAGGATCATAGTCCTCCACTAGCTTCAGGGGGTACACCTCTTCTTTTACCATTAAAGTGTTTTAAGTATTTTTAATGAATTTTTAAAGGCAAATATTAGCATTTTAGCTCAATAGCTTCCAGGTCATGTGACCTATTGACTCCAAATCAGGTCAGGATCATAGTCCTCCCTTAGCTGCAGGGGGTACACCTCTTTTTTTGTCATTTAAGTATTTTTAAGTATTTTTAATGAATTTTTATATGTAAATATTAGCATTTTAGCTCAATAGCTTCCAGGTCATGTGATCTATTGACTCCAAATCAGGTCAGGATCATAGTCCTCCACTAGCTGCAGGGGGTACAGCTCTTTTTTTATCATTAAAATGTTGTAAGTATTTTTAATGATTTTTTATATGTAAATATTAGACCAGCGTACATGTCTTCGCGTGTTTACCGTACTGTGTGTAGTAGGGGTGCACTAAAATGTTGGAGCGGCTTTCGAGTCGCTCTGAACCCAGAAAGAAGGAGAGGTGTACCGAGAGGGAATGACCGTTGAATGTCTGTCGGATATCCAACTTCAAACTAACTTCACCGCGGTCAGAGAGACTAGGTCAAAAAGGCAGAGTGACCTGATTGTGCGGCGTTAAGAGATCTAGAAGAAACATGGATTTGTTTTAGACTTGAATTAAGCAACCTTTTTTTGGGTCAGCCGTTTAAAAAATAAAAATCTTGCTGGTCATAGTTCATTCTAATGTATACTTGAAATAGGATTGATGGTAAATATTAAGGTTCATGCATTGTCTGCTTCCACCTAGCGGCCAAATCGCGTCCACTCTGCTCTGTTTAAAATGGTAAAAAAATAAAAAAACGTCGTCTAAACTGAGAAAACGAGTCTTTGAAAAAAACACGCTCTTATTATTATTATTTGCGCGTCGTTTGGGCGCCTTTACTAATAATATTTCATATATCTTTCATATATGGTATTTTCAATAACCTAACACTTTCCTTTCCTCGCCACACGGGGGTATAGCTCAGTGGTAGAGCATTTGACTGCAGATCAAGAGGTCTCCGGTTCAAATCCGGATGCCCCCTATGTGAACGAACTTTTTCTTTGTTTTATCTTGGTTACAAAATGGCGTTTTCCTCAATAATGCAACATCTACCTTTCCCCACTTAAAGGTTCTCTTTTCTTATAGTGTCATATGATTACATTGTATCTGGTCTGTAATTGCTTTTTTATGGACTACGGATCTTTGTAAGACTTTGTATGCAATTATATTAAAACATCTCGTCATTACACCAGAAGTCTGTGATTTATCCATTTCTCCTGGATATAAAACTGTGTGGATGCTGTGGTTGTGGCGCTACTGCTGTGTATAACAACAATAAACATGTGATGTCTGCATAACTACTCATTTTATGGTTTCTTACACCATCTCATTGTTTCATTCAAGATTTTGGACTAAAGAAAACCCACCTCTGTAAAAAGGAAATGCTCAAAACATCACTATTTACCTGTGGGGAGCAATACAAACTATTGATAGGAGCAGAACTGAGTTGTATAAAGTTGTTTTTGCATTTTGTACTTCTCTGCTTTCAATTAAGAACAAAAACACAACGCACACAATTCAACAATGGGTTTCAAGGATATTTCAGGATAGAAAAAACATTTTAACATCATACAGTAAAACATTTTAAATACATTTTACTTGTTTAGCTTATTTCCTATTAAGTCATGACAGTAATATACAGCAGGATAAAAAAGTTACAATAAAGTAGTTTTGGCTTGTTGTGCATCTTATATACAAACATTATTTTACATACATTTGTTTGAACCATTGATTCATAAAGGCAGCTGTTGTGGGTTAAAAAATGAATGGTACTTTCTGTGAGTAATCCAGAAAGCAAAACTAAATCACCAGTCAAAGTTCAGATCAAGTTTCACTTTTGATTAAACAATGATCATAGGTACCTTTTGATACTTGTTTCGGAATAATGTCGTTTGAAGATGCTAGAAAATGCAAAATCAAAAAACAAGTATGTTCACTTGTATTGGTTGTCTATTCCGACACCACAATATTTTTTCATTCCACTGTTGTATTTCAAACTTGAATGCAGTCTGATCAATTTGTCCAATCAAGCAAGGAATTAAAAAAAGCGTGTATGGCAGTAGTGAAGAAGGAATTCTTACCACGCAAGTTCCTAAGAATGACTGGTTACACAATCTTAATGCAATGTTGATTCCTTGGAATAATAACTAAACACAGACCACTTAATACTCTCGGAATCTGTGATGTTAGGCAGCAAGTGAACACACCAAAGTTTAGAAGGCAAACTTTTGACTGTGTACTTAGCCAAAGTACTTGTTCAAAACTCCATCCTTACAATCCAGATTATTCAAATGGGAAAATCGAAAACAAACAGTCCTATCTATCTAACTCTCAACAGTCACACTATTGTTTTGTTATACAAGGCAGCTGAAACCCATGAAAAGGTGAGAGAATTCCATAGTGTTTTGCTGTAATCCAAACTTATACCTACTTTTACAAATTCTCTTCTATAATTGCTTTTTTCCTTTTCTTTTTGTAAAAATAGAAAACCGGCTCGAGAGTAAAATGCTTCTTTTGCCATTGTCAGTGAGGATTCCAATGCAAGCTACTGTTGACGAATACTGTTTAAAATGACAGGTTCTCACGTCACCATAGCAACACACAGCAATGAACAGAAACAGTTAACTTCCAGTTGGCAGTTTGTATGTTTGTTAGTTAGTTAGTTAGTTAGTTAGTATGTTTCATTAAGTTGATAAACATGCCAAATAGCTGTTGTGTTGAACTAATTAAATGTGGGAAAATGTTTTGTGTCAGAGTCAACGGTCATGACAACGGTTGCTAAGGAGTTGGGTCTTGGCTAATCGCGCATGGGCTGAAAAAAAATCCATGATGCCTGTTCAAGTTCATGGAGCAAAGAACGTGTCGAACGTTCTTTGCTCCATATTGACCGACATGGGGTCATAATGTTATATTAATTTATACTTGATCAATATTTCTTCAGATTAAGCAGATTTCACTGTCTAATTCAACCCTTTTTGCCAGATTATTAAAATATAATCATAGTAGCATAAATTCTGTACACCGATGGCCAACTGAAGGTAAGCAGATGGTGGTGGTTTGTCGCTCGGCCAAGTCCTTGTCTTTCATCTGTTCATTGTTTTAACAGGATTTTGCGGTAAATCCTTGAATCATCTTGAGGCTCAGTTTTAAGGAATGTTGTCCACTCGAATACGTTCAATTTGCCAGAACTTTGGTCCGCATCCAATCCAGGCTGGCAGGTAAGCTACAAGAGAAACAGAGATATTTAGATAAATATACATGAAGCTGTGTATTTAATTAAGCTAAGAATGAAATAAACATCTAAGGTTAACAGAAATGTGGCTATTTCTCAAGTTCTTCACAATCAAATGGTTGGTTTGTAATTTGGAAAAAAAACCGACAAAACCCAACTCCTCCCTCTGGTGGTAACACAGGGAGTGACAGGCGGAAAGCATTTAAAAAAAAAAAAAATCTCTTAATAATAGTTTCACAATATTTTTTCATTTTTTAAAATATGAAATGACATGAAACAAATTGTCTCATTGTCTGATTTTGAATTTCATTTTGAACGTCCAAAAATAATGCATACAATTCCGTTTTTAAAATGGGGCGATAAAAGTAAAATAGTGTGTGGAAGGTACGATCTTTGATATCACTCTTACACTTGGTTACATAGTGCACATTTATGTAGTTGTGAAAATGTCCAAAGGATTGTTTATTGTCAGACTTACTCACAGTTTAAAGATATTCAAAATAGTCAGCTTTCATCCTCCTTCAAATAAATTACGAAGATGCAGAAATATATAGAAGAGTGCTTGACAACTATTGAAAAGTATTATGCCAGAACTAGTCAATTATGTGGAGAGAGAGGAACGTGTATTTAACAATAATTTGAAGGATGTCAGTGGACAGATGTCAGTGAGTCATTATCCTCTTTAAAGACCAAATATAATGCATCATATTTCTTCTTTTAATTTGACTCTGTAATGTCACAAGGCTAGATGTTCTAAAAAAAAATCAGAATTCTGCTCAATTTATTTAAATTTTTATATGGCATATATAGCAAATTATTATGCCCTAAATCATGAATAACTTTTCCTCTCAAATGGCTCTGCCTTTAGCCCTGCATTGACAATTTAAAAAGTGTGACTATCACTTACAACTATAACCAGTTTACAGAAACATGAGTGCGTCAGTTTTACGTTTACAGGCCAGGTCCTGGATATTGTGTTTGTGAATGTATGGCGCGCTGACGCAGGTGAGGTGTGGTTAGAGTGAGCTAGTGGCAAGTATTGTCGTCTTCTTCTGAAGTTCTTCAGGAAACAATGTGAACGGGTTTTACCATCCTCAGATTTATATCACACACAACACACAGAAGTGACATCTGTCGTGATATAAAAATAATAGTTAATTACTGTTAAATAGTAAGTAGTAAGTAAGTAAGTAAGCTTTATTTATATACCGCCTTTCACAGACCAGAGTCACAAAGCGGTTTACAATTGTTATTATTTTTGGGCACTTGTCCTCTCACTCCACACAGAGATGGGAGCGGGGTCGCCAGTACAGGAGGCGCATGCCAGACCTATTGGACATATTTTTAGTGGTAGGGGAAACCGGAGTACCCGGAGGAAACCTACGCAGACACGGGGAGAACATGCAAACTCCACTCAGAAAGGCCCTTGTCCGGCCGGGATTCGAACCAAGGACCTTCTTGCTGAGTGGCGAGAGTGCTATCCACTCAGCCACCGTGCCGCAAATGTACGTTTCTCCCTCTCTACATTATTGATTACAGCTAATTATCAAAAAGTATTTTAAAAACATAACTAGTTGTCTTGTTGTATACTCTTACAACATTCAGCCGTCTGTTTCTGCATCCCATAAAGGTTTTCGCTTTCACTGCCATGGTTTAAGTTTGTTTAGACATAGCTATGGAGACCTTAGAAACCAGGTCTGGAAATCAGCTGTTAGCAGCAGTATATGGCTTACGAACATGACATTGGTTACTTGTAATGATGCTTTTTGTTCTGTCCCTATCAAATAAACATATAATATAATAATAAAAATGGCCATACAGCTTACACCTACACTCTACTACAGTTCAGACCACATTTTAAAGCATATTAACCCTTTCATCACCAAATTGACTAAAGAGGCTAAAGGCTTTGTACATCAAAATGTGATTAGATATCGAGACACTTTGGCACCTCTACTTGAGTAGTAGTTTTTTCCAGCCACATTTATTGACAATATCACCACATAGTGACACATCAGTGCCTTGTGTTTAAACATAGTAGGATTATTGTTTGTGCTCACCCTTCTCCCGTCAGCGCGCAGCAGGCCTGGACATGCCAGGAGTGAGAGGTGATCGTGTCCAAAGTCAAACACTGGGAGATCTCTGCCGCCGTCATGGAGTTCTTCACGTCCTGTTTGTTGGCCAGAACCAGCACGGAGGCATTTTGGAGGTCCTGAAACAGCACAGGAGAACATTACCTCAAGATGAACAACATGGTATAAGATCAAAGATTTGTTTGTAGAAATGTATAATTATGACTAGAACCATTGCAAATATACTGACTTCCGTATCAGTGATTTATTAACCTAAACTAAACTAAAACAAAATCCATTTTCTGACACTATCAAACTATCTATGCAACTAAACTAAATGATCAGTAATGTTGATGTGGGTTACATTCTATTTGGCCTGAATGAAAACTACTGACATGATGTATAATCCGTCAACAATCCCAAAAGTTTAACAATAATCGTAAACAAAAGTACCTCATGTGCAAGCATTCTGTGCAGCTCCTCTTTAGTGACCGTGAGCCGCTCCCGGTCTGTGCTGTCCACCACCAGAATGACAATCTGAAACAAACCAGATATATGAATGTGTCAGCCAGCTTTAAGCAATCTTTTCTGACTTTATAGAGTTAGTAATCTATACTATTGTCCCCTATATGTTCCATAAATATAGATATGATGAACGTTTACAGTGTCTACCATACTAAGGTTGCTTGGTGCATATTTTATGACTTTGCAAACGTCCATCTGGATCAATTATGGACCTATTTATTGCTCCGTTTACATAAGAGTCCTCTGAGCTGAATAGATAAACAGTAAAATGGGTTAGTATGTTCTGTCCTGAAAAGACGAGCCTGTTCTCTGAGCTTGAGACAGAACATTTTGAATATAGTCCATTTAGAGGAATAATCATGAGATATTCCTGGCTTTTTATTTGCCGAATGTATAATAAAAGCAGCATTCACACTTGCAGAATACAATATATGCTTCATTAAAACTAGGACTGGACTCACAGTGTCTAAAACAGAACTAAACCGGGGGCAAATCAGAAATGTGAATGTAGACGACATTTGCACACTTTAGTTTCTGCAAATTAATTGAAAAAAAAAAATCTCATTATTGTAGATGTTGAATTACAAGATAATAGTGTTTATGTATTATCTATATATATGGACGGCTGAAAAAAAAAATGGGATAAAAATACTTTGTAGGCACATTTTCATTTTATTCTGCTAAATGTTTTAATTATTTCAATAATCAATTACATCATCGGTTAACTTTAAACATCCCCTCCTTTACCTCCGTGTGGCAGAAGTAGGAGTACCAGGTCGCTCGGAGGCTTTCTTGTCCTCCGATGTCCCAAACCAAGAAGTGTGTATTTCGAACGGTGATTTCTTCTACGTTACTTCCTATTGTTGGAGATGTGTGCACTGCCTCCTTTGTCAAGCTGCAAATAAATAACATAGCAGTATTAGGATTAGTAGTAGTAGTAGTAGTAGTAGTAGTAGTAGTAGTAGTGGTTGGTGGTAGTAGTGCTAATAGTAGTAACAGTAGTGGTGGTGGTAGTAATAGTATAAGTAGTAGTACTGGTAGAAGTGGAGGCTGTAGTAGTACAATAGTAGCAGTAGTAGTAGGTGTACTATAGTGGTAGTAATAGAATATAAATTGTAATGGTAGTAGCAGTTCCTATGACCCGGCAATGGATAAAGTGGAAGAAGAAAAGATTTCATTTTATTTTATAGATATATCTGCTGTATTTTGAGTAAGCAATGGTGGAATTCTTATATAGGTATTTGTTGAAGTAGTTCTTGAAGTTGTATTTGCTGTAACTACTACTTCATCCATCAATACTTTGAATGTTGAATACTTTAATTGACCAACGTTACAACATTCCTAAAACACATGCTTTAATGAGGAAACTGTTTTGTAACTCACAACTGGTAGAGGATTGTTGTTTTTCCGGCGTTGTCCAAACCCACAAGGACGACTTTGTGTTCTGCAAGTATCAGCAACAAGGAAATACGTCAAAACTCCTCTGCCTCCTCTACCATTCAAACATATATACATTTGACGTTATTATATCTGTAGTACAAGACTTATTTCAAGCATTAGTGATGCAGAAGATTAGATAAAATCCCACTGTGATGCAATGTCCACAGTGTTATCATGATTATATAATTACAGAAAACAGCTGAGTTTGAAAAGGTCAAAGCCTGCTGCACGTACTGTACATCATAAATCGTAAACTTACAATTCTTAGAAATACCAGCGTGGAAATTATATAATGTGTATGGAGAAAAAACACTTATCCAAATAGTGTTTTCTTTGTCTGAAATATCTGTGTGACATTAAGCTTGTGTACTTCAGAGACAAGCAACAATCACCCCTTTGTCATTACAGGTTACAGTAGATTTGAGGAGAGAGGAATGAATTATTTGATTAGTTGGATTATTATTGATTAAAAACTGTGAATTATTAAAGATTATTATTGTTACAAGTTTTGTAAAGTTTTGTGCAACACTAAAACATTCTTAGCAAAAGGAGTCTTTTCATTTTATAATAGATACACCATTAAAGTGACATTGAATATTAAGTAAGAAATAAAATAAACAATAATATAATAACAGTCTCTAAACACACTTTTGGGTACAATATACAGCTATAAATAAATATATACCACTGGATGAAAACGAAAATCGGGGTATAAATAAGAAATATTATTGTGTCCAAAAAGATCAAATGTAAAGTTGGTTGTGTCGAACTAACCATGTCATAATCTAATTTCCCATTGCTTTGGCAGCGAGTGTCCATAACAGACAGTTACAGACACAAAACAACAACATTATTTTAACATAATCAGCAAAATCTCACCTTTGTCCCCAAACACAGTCATCATCTTGGTCAGCAGCAGCCCCATGGCACCTTTGTTGATCTCTGGTCTTCGGGTTTCTCTGTGTTGTTGTTTCTCTGTGTTGTTGTTTCTCTGTGTTGTTGTTTCTCTGTGTTGTTGTTTCTCTGTGTTGTTGTTTCTCTGTGTTGTTGTTTCTCTGTGTCGCTCTGATCTCGTCCTGAATCTGAAAGCTCTGTGTTGTGTCCGTGGGGTTTGTTCACTTTGTTCTGAGTTTGTAGGAGGAACGCACTTTTGAGAAACACTGCATGACTCACGGGCGGAGGAGAGCGTTCAGGTGTCGTGGGACATTTGACGATTACAAACAATAACACGCGCAAGTGAACTGAAATTGAACATTATTATTGCTATAGTAGTGCATCACCTTTTGGTATGCAGAGCTTAGCACAATTCTTGAAATGGCCATAAAACATTTAAACGGTCTCCAACAACCTACATACAGTGGACAGAACTGTATCAATCAAGGTTTTAATTTACTGTAATAATCTGTTTGTATAATGAAGGGATTGGGTGTCATTTGACATTGTAAATCTATGCTATTGGCTTTTTATAAACAGTCATACATTGGCACTTATATAGACCCTTTTTTCTGAATAATGAATGTATTGTACGTTTTTTTGCCTCGATTTTATTTGTCGTTGTTGTAAATTAAAATAAAACTTTGAAATGTCATGTCATGTAACTTCAAATCATGTCAAATGTCTTGATGCTCTTGACTAGGAGTCCTAACTACAATAAGTAATAACTACATATAATACAGTAAAAATAAAACATGTGTTGCGAAAAAACAAAACAAAAACATAAAGAAAATAAAAATAACAGCATTAACCGATGAGCTGTGGACCTGCTTCAGTCACAGAGGCACAGATAAAAAGGCCTAAATTATTATAATAATAATTATAATAATAATCAGTCATTGATCAGTTTCTCTCTTTGAATTAGTATAATAATTATGATAACAATTCATTAATATACAAAACATTAATAAATATATATTTCACATGTATATTGACTGATCAGACAAATGCATTTGTATTATTGTTTATATAAATTGAATAGTTTCCTTGAAGTATGATCACATCACAGTCATGCCTCCTACGTGAGGGTGTAGCGTGGTGTAGTGTGGAGTAGTGTAGGAGTCGTGACAGTGAACACCTGTCCCTGAACGCATCACGGCTCACGCTCGTTTCGTTACGTCACGTCACATTGGGGATACCACACAGGCGCTCCAGTGACGCAACAGGAAGCGCACACAATATCGGGCCATATATGGAAACAGAGGAACGCGCTGTTTTCCCTTGTGTGTGTTATGTACGAGGAATATCAGGAACAAAAAGTAAAAGGAAACTTCATAGAAAATCCCCATCGGTTTGTTCCAGCTAAAATAGGCCACACAATCACACAGCCGATTAAAAACTACAGCATTATAGGGACAAGCTGTGCACTCAGCTGAGGCAATACTTCTGTTTACAATCCTGATCAAATAACCCTTTATTGAGTGTTTAACCCATTTCCGATGTTGGATATCATACAGAATTTTTTAGGTCCCATGCCCCCTGCACAACTTTGTATTATCTTATATTTATTCCACATATAGAGAAATGAAAACAAAATCCTACCAAAAGGCATCGGGACTGCAATAAAATCACTGTCATATCTCTCTCACCTTCATTCATCCTTTCTGAGTTGCAGTTAGGATTTATTTTTTTATTCACTTTTATTAATTTCCCCATTTTCAAAATCTCTGATTCAACGGAAAACCAAACATTGCTAGAAAGAGAATATGGTTTAATCACCAATCTGGAAACACACGTGTTGTGTCAGATGAGCTCAGACCTTTTTCTTGTTGCTTAACGTCTCGTGCTGCTCATGGTTAAAGTCACATTTGTTTCTTGACACTTCCTTTCAGCAAGTTCCACATCAGCACAAAATCAAGTACATCCGTATTTTAGAAAAAACACCAATAAAATGTCACATGTTGAGAGTCTATTCTTGGGTTGTTGCAGTCTGCAATCTCAACCAAATGTATGTGACATTATTTCTGTTTCTGTTTGTTCAAGAGCAAAGTTAAGTGTCAAGTCTTTTAAATGATTGAGGAATAATCACCTTAAGCATTTTTATTATTGTGCAACACCTTGGAACCATTTCACTTCATAAAAAGTGAATAAAGTGGATTGAATATAAAGTTTGCTTTGCTGAGAAATAGATTTGTGATAAAGGCAGTCTGTAAACTTCATAGATACCAAATGTTGTTTAAAGACCAAACAATGACATGTTACTTCATCCTGTGCCACGCGTTCTACTCTGGCCTCTGCGGCTGAACTCTGAGCTGAGCGGCACCTGCTTTTTTCCATGGAAGTTGGAGTTTAAATATTTTTCAAAAAGTTATTTTTCAGAGAATTTTACAAGAAATAAATGTCACTGTCATTGATCAGTTTCTCTCTGAAATGATTGACAAATTCAAACTTTACTCAAGTTTAGTGTATTGTCTTCTGTCTGCATTCTGTGGAACAACTATCAACAATGTAACTATAACTATGTAAAAACATAATGGAGACAAAATAGCTCCAAAAAGCAAGATGGCGCCTGATCAGTACTGTGATGGGAGACCTCTGGGAGGGGTCCATGGCACATTTTGTAGCCTCGCTTGCGTACCCCAGGGCAGCTGTGGCTAAAGATGTAGCTGTGTATGGAGTAAATAAAAAATGCCATGTGAAGCATACTAATACATAAGTACTATACATTATTGTTATTAATGATTTGAATCATAAAAGCAAACACTGCATCGGAACACCATACAGCCAACACTTTTTTGATTAACTTTTTAATTAAAATACGAATTTATCCACAGATTAAAAATGAAAGGCAGAAAAAGCAAAATGTAGCTACAATCAGGCACCAAAGATACATGTTTATTCATATTTTAACAATGACATTATTTACTGATCATAATTTTATACTTATTCAACTAAAGACAGGGGCGGGCCACTACGGCAAAACCCGCCAACGACATTCAAACAAGTTTAGGACAACTCCATAAAGTGTATCCTAGACCCTCCCGGAACCACACAGAACTGAAGCGATAAAAAAAATTGCAAATGTCCACATAAATCATCCAGCAGAAAACAAGGTAAAATAGTTCAATATCAGACAAGCGAGAAAGCCGTTTGAAGAGTAATTGGAGCGTGTTATTTGAGTTATAACTTTTAAAAGCCCTGACGAGAAAAGCTTCAAGCATAGAAATGGCGTGAGGACGAAAGGTTAAGACAACCCACCGCGGTACAATGGTGGACATGGCTTGGCAACACAGTCCGGCACTTGTGAGAAATTGTTGATTTAAGTGACATTTCAGTGAGAGAGCATTCAAACAACAGCATACATGTATTTTGCGAATGGTTCAGGGCCGCTTCACAAAGACAAAGTGGTACAGCGGCAGCAGGGAAGAAGTAAACATCTTTGGAGAGCTTTGAGTCAGCCTGGTCACACACACAAAAAAAAAAAAAAAAAAAAAAAATGTTTTTGCTTGTGTGTTTTTTTTCAATGGCACGTAAAGCTTGTATCCTATGTTCTATAAATGTCTTTGCTATTTGGAGTTTTCATTTAAATATTTATGTATTCTTTAAATTTACTCACAACCATTAATATTTTCTGTAATCAATAGAGTTTTTTGATAATGGAGTCCACATACTGTCATTCAATTCCAACTTCCTTGGCAAAAGTGGGGGGTACATTTACAATACACTCTTGGGTAAGATTTGAATTCATCATTTTTTACAATATTAATATTAAAGCAACTACAGTACACTATCTGACTAGAATAAAAATCTTGGTTACTCTTTATATAACTAAGTCTGAGTCACTAAAGATTCCAATTCACAATATCAGGTTGTTTAAAAAGATTTATGTCACTCCTCTCCAGATTTGTCTTCATCTCTGGGGTCTATTCTTCAAAAAGATCAGTTTTGTGCATTTGTTTTGTGCTTTCAATTGCATTAATTTCACTAAGCTATCACAAACTATCTATTTTTTTTACTCTTACAGAAATCATTTTTTTACTACTAGCACTCTTACTTCTCAGCACAAAGGTCCTGGGCTCGAAACAGGGTATTTCTGAGTGGATTTGGCATGTTCTCCCTGTTTCTTCTCTGGTTTTCCTCTACCTCTAAACGCATGCGGTGAACTACGGTGACCACTGCTCCAGACAGAAGTCCTAGAGGCTTTGCAGGATGGGTCAAATGCAGAGAACAAATTTAAGACAATAACTTAATAATAATAATAACAGTTTGCAGTATCAACCCACACTAGCGCCTCCTTTTTGGCAACTCCTCTCACATTTCTCTGCCTTAAATGGGATTTTATATCTTGCAAAAAAGACATTAGAATTATAAAAAGTAAATACATTCATAGTAATTTGTATTCTGCAATCTGCTGATATAAATTTGACTTTTTGTGCGGAGTGGAAGAAAAATGAATGAAGTCAAACCAATGAGGTCAGACTATAATGACCGGCTGACCAGGCTTGGACACTTGTAAGCTATTTTTGTGGGAATACAGCAACACACCACTTGTTAAGGTCTTGGTGATAACAAATAAAAGTGATTGATAAATAGAACTTATAACATAGGCCTTTTACAACTCCAAAAGTCCACACTATAAGAAGGCAGATTGACCCTGTTTTTGTAGATTGCAGAGGACAGATAAACAACAGTTGTACACAATTATAAATTGTATTATTCTGTATACTGCCCTCTTGCTGCCAGTAGAAATCAGTGACACCTCATGCAACACCAAAAAAAAAAAACAGACCTGTAGTAGTAGTAATAGTTGAAGTAAAGTCAAATTAATTGCAAGAAAAATGACATTGATGGCATCTGGCAGTGGATGTGTTTCCTTACATTGTTACTGTAGCATCAGGGCTACACAATACTGGATCTCTGCTCACCCGGGTTACAAATGAGTCATTGTATTTAGATGTATTGCAAAAACAACATGGTGGAAAACAAGTTACACTATATTCCTTTGTGTATTAACTCGTTGTGTGCCATTGACGCACTAATACCTCAAAGCAAATAGTAACGTCAATTGCGTTTTCCGCTATTTTCATGTTCCCAGATGTCTACTATATCTAATATGTATGTGAATTAGCTTAAAGCATATTTTATCGAGCCAGCAAGTGGCACCAGCGCTGCCTTTGGATTCTCAGCTTTTTGTCTGAGACTGGTGATTTCAGTAAAACTTCCCTCTACCCGACTGGGGATTACAGGGGAACGAAACAAGCTAGAAACAAAATTCTTTTTGCTGATGAAAGTAGGCAGTCCGTCATAGTACACAATATTCTGTGGGTCTTGAAAAATCTATAGAAATCATCAGAAACTGCTGGCAATATGGGAGTACCTGTTCTGAAATAGGCTGGCAGGCAAGAGGTGCATGAAAGTAGAAGCTTGACTTTAACGATCAAGTCTATTGGAAACTTGGACTGGTCATACAAAGAGGCAGGAAGAAAGTAAATATAAAAGTTCCATTTTTGTTATGATATTTGTTCTGTACATTCTACTCCACTACATTTTTGACTGAGTACTTTATATAGTATGGCTTTTTTCACGTTCTTGCAAACCTTTACTTGGCTGAGAGAGAATGGTCTTCTCTTTTTCACTTTTCTGTTTATATAACTGTGACAGGGACCAGAATACATTCATGTGAAAACTAGTGATATAACCAAACTGTTTGGAGAGCTGGGATCTAGTTTTATTGAAGAGTTTTGTGCTTTGTAAATTAGGGACCCCATCTTTAAGTAGAATTATCTATAGACTAGTTTTACTTATTTTATTTTGGTTATTTCTGGCTTTGATGCATGTACTTTTTATCTAGCAACACCGAGTACCCCCTCAATAATGGCCTCTATAATTATATAACACCAGATAAGAAAAGCAGAATGGTTTGAAATGTTCTTATCTCTTAGTCTTCTGCTCCTGATTGAATAGCCATAGCACCATTTTAACCCATCATTGACCATGTTGTTATTGAAATACTCGAGTAACACATTTTCTTTCATATTGTGCAGCTCTAATTATGTTGTAAACAAAGTGGTTTGCAGCCTGTCTGGCCCCACAGCCCCCACTCATACAGTCAGTGTTTGTGAACCTGACAGCCTCAAAGCCTTCACTTATACACAGCAGCTAACATGACTTGAATTCAAAATGTTTATTTTGATTTGAGTAGTTTTGACGTTTAGATGAAAGACCTGGATGTTTCACTGTTAGTTTTAGGGATTGCACAATGTCAATAAAAATCAGATTGTAAGTTTATATAGTAAAAACAACACATGTGGTAACCATCGACTTATAATGCGACTATTTTCTTTGTCCTTTAATGTTTTATAGAATGTGAAATAGTATCTTAGAAATGGTGAATATAAATGCACCAGAGTTAATTTGTATCTATGTTTTTAAATTTGAAAATTACCAACTGAAATTACCAAAAGAAAATCATGAGAAGTACCAAAATTATTTTATGGGTAGAAAACTGATCATCAAACTCGTACAGGTTCAACACAGGAGCTTTTGATGAGGGAACGATGTTGTAATGAGGTTCAAATCTCAAAAAAGGCAATTTTGTACGATATGTCTGCTTTTAAATGATTATAAGCTCCAAACTTGGAACCAGACAAAAATGCATAAAAAACAAATCCAGGTCCACTCAAACTACTCAAATCAAACTCAAGTCATTTCAACACATTTTAGGGAATTTATCTTCTTCTTCAGCGGATGTAGACGCCCCAGTCCTGGTCCTGGTTCTTGTTGCGCGCCGTGTTGCTCTCCTCCTGGCAGTAGCGCTCCCGCAGCCTGGGACGTCCTGGTTGCGCGTGCGGCTGCTGCTGCTGCTGATGCGGCTGGTTCAGGTTCTCCTGGTCCGGCTCCGGCTCCTCCCACGATGCTTGGCGCCCGTGATGCAACCTATTCCCACCGCTACCCCCTCCACTACCCCCACCTCCACCTCTGTACGGCTCTGGCTCTTCATAGGGGTCCGTCTCGATGTCCATGCAGGAATCTCCAGCTTCGGTATAGGCAGAATCCCGGCTCCCTTGTGTCTCGGAGTCGAACGTGTCCTGGCGCGAGAGGGCGCGCGTACCGCTCCGCACCTGCCCGCGGGATGAGCGTAGGTAGGACTGCTGCTGTTGCTGTTGCTGCTGCTGCTGTGGTTGTTGCGCTTGAGGAGGGTGGTGTGGTTTGTCGGATTCAGACAGGGGCCCGTCCAGTTTCTTCTCCCCGTGCACCAGGTACTGTCCCTGGGCAAGTCACAGCCGCGACACCACACACCATGCACAGACACAGAGCAGATGCGCACACGTGTTAGTCAAGGTTAAGAATTCACAACGTATTTTTCTCATGCAAACACACTTTTTTTTGTAGCAAAGCTTAAAGCGGTCAGTTTTTTTTAATTGCGAAGAGCGAGATTTCCCCCCCCCCCCCAAAAAGCACTGCTTCCTTTGGGGGCCCATTCTCATCCACTGCATACTAAAATGTGTTCCTGGACGGAGTAAATTTTTTAAATCCTCGATACACACAGGCCCTTTAACATTGGCCCAAATATCCACCAAAAGGTCAGCTGTATTAAGTAAATAAAAACTTTACATGCATTATTTTGAAGTGCTGACATCACCTTTAATATTCATGTTAGTATTGTCCATGCTTTACTTATTATTATGCTTATGCTTATGAGTATTAGTCTTTTTGTAATTAGCAACATACAAATAATAACTAAAGAAAACTAGAGACTCACTCATTGAAGCTGTTTGTTGTAGATCTATTATTATTTTTAATAACCATGGATTTTGACAGCATTCTCTCCTTGCTGTTTTTGAACCATTGTAACAGAAATGAAGGTCATCTTCTTATCTTAGAACTGAATGGTTATTAGTCTTTGGTCATATGCATAAACACCTTGACAATACAAATTCAGACAAAATTGTGTTCCAGTCTTTAGAGTATTATTATTATTATCATCACTATTAAAGCAGTTATGTGTAATATAGCCACAGCAAACAGGCCTTTGATTAATCCTTGTATTAAATATAGTCCCCTAATGGGGAGAATTTTGTATAGGCTTTTGAAGCTTTTCATTGTCTATGCACTTATTTATACAGAATGAAAATTGTAAACACGTCTATGCCACACACATTTGTGAACCTCGAGTTCAGAACAGCATATGTCATAGCAGTACTACAGTGCCACCTGCTGGAGGATTGTGTAAGTTCCCCAAAAAGAGACACGTTAACATCATGTTTATAATAAAAGTTGTGCATTTTATCCATTTCCGTCCTGTCTTTCAAAAACCAAATAACTACACATTAAAAGAAAAATATAATTTTACAAGCAAAATAAGAGCTTTTGTTGGAGTAGATATTAGTTTGTTCATGCACTAACACTTAGTTTTGCTAGTTAGTATCAAACATCTCTGTGTTTAGACGGTTGTGACTTGCTCTTTTTAGGTCCGGTACCACGGCAACACGGAGGACTGAACCAAATGAACCCCAACGCCACAGAGGAGCTCAGCCACGGGATTTCATTTTGCACTTAATTATCTCCAAATGAAAGCTACGAGCCGGGACAGAAGGGGATAGTGGGAAATTTTTTCTTTGTGTTTTTCCCAGAAAGGCCATCCGTGGTTAAGGCTCAAAGGTGTTACAGATGATTCCAGCAGAAGTAACTTTTTGTTGTATTATTAATGACTCATGTTTACTTTTGGATATTTTCATAAACACAGACTTTCTATATCCAATAGACATTTTAGGCAACAATGCACCTTTAACATTGTCTAACTTTGGTACAGGCATTTCCTCTGATACTGATAAAGTGATGATGAATAAAATAAAAACAAAAAAATCTATAAATATTTGTAACGTTTAAGATTTTTAAAGAAAAATCGCTTTCCATATTGCATGGCAATTGATTCTTGGCAATTTCAAATACATTGTAATTCAAATATAAATGTATTTTAAAAGCTTGAATTTAGCACCATTTCTCATTTATGTTGATATATTGATTGTCTTTATGCGAACGCCTGTGACTTTTCAAAATGTGAAGAAAAATGTGAAGGATTTTTTTCTAACACAAGCACCAGTTAGACCCGCCCCCACAGCCTCCTGATTGGACGCAATTACTTCCAATCCCTATAGACAGCTGGGACCCCTCACCATTGGTCTAACTTTTCTCCTCCAGTTACCCAACAATAAAACATATGTTAAGACAATCACAATATATCAAAATCAAGATCTATACTTCTTAATTCAAGCAAGAATCTATAAACTCACTATTTAGAACGCTGATGTTTTTCATTGAACTTCTGCCATAGAAAAAAGTGATGACGTAAGAAGTTGCCGTTTTTCTGTAAATACGGTTAGAAAAATATCCATTCTATTCAGGCCATTACTTTTAATATATTTCGTAATTGATCTTCTTTATTGCACTTTTCCTCATATTGAATGGGGCATGTTGACTACAGTCCCCCTGCACTGCTGCTGCTGTTCTGGCGGCGGCCTCTAGAGGGCGTGCTCCTCCACTTTGCGGTCGTGGGCTTCCAGCTCGGGCCACAGGTCGATGTTTCGGCGCAGGGACGTCAGCACTTGTACCTGCAGGTTGGACACTGGCTCCGGGGAGGCGGCCAGGGCGGCTGTGGCCATGGTGCGGTTGAGGAGAGGGTTGGGGGGGTTGGAGCTGGGCGGGTGCGTGGCCTTCCAGTACGCCTCCAGGTAATCTGCCAGGTGCTCACACGCGTCCTCCAGCTGGTTCTCGTCCAGGATTATGTCAAATAATTCCTGAAATACCAACAGGTGTCATCGGCTCAAATGTGCACACACACTTTTAGTAAGTACATTTACATCCTGGAAAAAAGACAGGTTTATTAAGGAAGACAGTTCCAATAAAATATTATATATGTTTTGAAGATTAAGTATGATAACAAAAAACACCTTTACATCATTGTTATTGGTTGTGTGTAGCCATCAAAAAAATGTGTTTTATCTTTTCAAACTATAATGACAGTAGAAACCTCTCCAAGCCGCTGATTAGAAATCTCCACCCCCCCAGTTCTCAATAGTATGTTTTTCCCCTTTAACATCTATGAAGCTGGGAGTCTTTTTACAATACAGCCAATAACAATGAGTGTATACTGAAATATATAGTGCCCAGTATAGAGGTCAATGGTAGGTTTTGATTTAGGGCTATACAAGAATCAATTGAATTGAATTGGTACAGCCCAGTGCATGGTATCTGTGCCTGGACTCAATCAGAGTCTGAGGCTGTTTTTGTGTCAAAGAACTGCTGTCATGGATCATTTTTTAGCGATACAAACAAATTCTCCAGACATTCACAAGGCAGGAGGAGCATTTGGTTGTTGTGTAAATGTAAAACTCACAGGAGGACACTGAGCCAGTTTGTCGGCTGCCACCATCTGAACGTTCAAGTGTTTGGCCTGAGACTTTCCTCTGGACTTGATCAGCCTCTGGAGGACCTGCGGACACCAGACGGGTAAACAAGACTGGACAATGTATGCGGTTTAGAGCTTTTGGACTGATCTTTCCTCTCTGATCTGATTATATGCTAAAACATCCTCGTAAAAATTGACCACAAAAATAGCTTGTTTTGTAAGATTACACAGTTTCACGTTATTCATGATTTTAGTTATTCAAGACATACTCTTATCATAATTGAGCATATCAAAGCCAACAATTGCGATGTTATCCAGTTTTACAAAACAGATCTTTGCAACTGAATAGTTTTATCTGAGCTGCCATGCTTTAAAATGAAATAATATGGCAATTATTCAAGCTTTTATCTGTTTGCATAATTATTTTAATGCATCCAATCTTGTTTTGTAAATCACTTTGAATTGCTTTGCGTCTGAGTCATGCCAAACTTTCTTGTCTGCTCAGGACAAATTAGAGCTGGTTTAGAGATGGATTTGCTTGATATTTTCATACTTGTTGGTTTGTTTCACTTTTCCTTGACCAATTCTGAAACCACCAAAGTGAGCATATGTCAGCTATAGTCACAACAAGGCATAATGCATACTGTTTGGCCATCAAAGTTGATAATGACACTTTTTATTTTTGTCATTTCATGTTTTATAATGTGAAACAATATCTATAAAATTATACGGTGAAGCAAATATCAAGAGTAAACAATGCTATCTGCCTGTAACTCAATCAATCATGTTATTTCAAACTTGATACAAAGGGTATACAGGATACAAAATAAACATAAATACACAATTGAAAAAGGGGCCGAACTGTCTATGTTCACTCCACTACAGAGAGGAGTTGAATTTCATTTTTATTTTTGCCCAACTTGAAAATTACCGACTGAAGACACAGCCATGTTATTGTGAAATTGCAAAAAAAAGCAATCTTATGGGCACTACTTTTGTTTAGTCTTTGCTCAACCTTGGATTCTTGACGTATTTTATTACACAGTTACAGCAGGCAACACTACTCAATTTGTGGTAAAACGCGAAAACAGTACAAGGTGGCTTGAAAGTTACATTGAATCCTTGGCTTAATTAAACCGAGTCCATAAAAAACGTCCTATGATATTATTAGCGCCTTCAAACCTCTGCTGTAACAGATTATTGGATTCCGCTCTGTTTCCAGAATTAATAATGCATTCTGGCGGTACCTTTGGCGAGGCTATTTTGATGTAGACGATGATGGGAGCCAGGGAGGTCTTGGCCAGTTGTGTTGGGTGGTTTATGGTGTCTGCGTCCAGGGCGACCAGCTGCAAGGTGCGGGCCAACTCGAAAATACGCTCGATCTCACTCTGCACCTCCGCTACACACACAAAATATGTCAGTGCAAGAGAAAACACGGACGGACAACAGGATAACACCATTTCAAAGGAGTTAGCTCGGTGTGTAAAAGGAAATCCAAAACAGGGCAATGTGATATCATTTGCAAATCTCGTTAATCCAATTTGAAAGAGACAATGTAAACCAACGTGTTACCATTTCAAATTAGTTTTCATAGCAACAGTTCTAAATAGCGAGCGTATGATAACAAAATACGCCTTGAAAAACATTCTTGGTGTAAGTTCTGCCATCTATTTGTCATAGCTGAAGTATATGCTTGTATTCTTATCGCCTCTCCACAGATGTAACCTGTAACTTAGCCTTGGAGATTGTGAGTAAGAGTAATTGTAAGAGTAGTTGACCAGAAATGTCCAATCAATTACTAGACAATTAGAAAAAGGATCATTATGTATCTCCAACCTCCACTGGAATTTAAATGAATAGATTAACAATTTTAGCAGAAAGTGATATTTCAAAACAAAACTTCCCAATGGACATAAAACGAATTTTTCTAGGGCTATAGATGAGTTTATTAGTTGACTTGAACTTTAAAGCTGGGCTATCTCACTTTCAAACCAAAAGCGAAAGGACCGATTAAATAAAATCCATCTAGTCCAATCTCACTAGTTCCTCACGCTCAAAAACAGTGAAGTTCTATTACTAGTTGTACATATTTTGCGTGTAAAAAAAGAGAGGACCACCCTTAGCCCTTAGAGATCAATCAAATAGAAACTCACATGTCTCATACAAATATGCAATTATGTTTTCTAATAACATAAAGAAGAAGTGTTCTGATTAGTTCAAAACATTCACTTTAACAAGACTATTCCTGTTGAGTGTGTGTTTTATCTATTTTATAAAAATGTAGGTACCCCAGCTTTAAAACATGACCTATTGGCGGACTAACAGAATATGACAAAGCATGTGTTATCTCTAAGTATTTGCCCCAAACTAAACTAAAAATGTATATGTAAAATAGCTCATTTAACATGATCCCTCCCAAACTTCTCAGCGTTGCAGTCACCTCAGAAACCCTTCCATCAGTGCAAATGATTTCTGTTTTTATTTCCATTTTACACAGGATCTCTTTTGAAATGAATCTTCCACATTTGTCACATACAGTATATCAGACAGTATACTACATCTGCGTGTTAGTACTGGTCCATGCACCGTACATACTCCGCAGTCTCCATTTGAGCGCAGCTAAATGGAGCCGTGCCACATGCCCATTCAAAGTCCCGCCTCCTCTCACACCTGCACATCTGCTCTGGCTTCGATATTTATCCTTTTCATTACAAGTGTGAAAATAAAGGCGGCACTTCGAAATGAGATGGACTTGGCACTTGGAAATTACTATTACTGAAAAAGGGCATGGTTACCCACCATGTAAACAAAACAAGACAGAGGGTCTGGCCCATCAGACACATGGAGTGATGCGGTCGGTTAGCACTATTTGCATAGAAGTCTTTTTAAATGCTCCAAGGGGAGAAGAGATTTTTTGAATTTGAATTGAATTTGAGTTCACAAACTTCTGTAAAAGTAAGTACTGTAAATAGTTCTCTCTATGAATGTCAGGATTTCTGAGTTGCAATAATTATTAGAGAAAAAAGAAGAATTATTCACGATTATTGACGCTGTATAAACTTAGATTTTTTTTCTTCTTTGCAACATGTTACTATTTGGTATTCTACGCAACAAAAAACGACAAGTTTAGTTGTCATTTTAAGTGTAAATTTTATCAGGCTGGATTTGCCATTATTAAAGTTTTATTGAAAATGCATCACAATGGTAGTTAACCCCAATGTCCAAATCACTCATATTCCATTATTGCTATTTTATTTAATACCATTGCAACTACTTGAGGACCACATTTTCTTTTAATTTTTTTAGGTATTGCTGCGTCATCTTCAGTTCGGGTTGGATTGGATCGATGCCTTGGCAGATGTCTAATTTCTAGGAGCAAATCATTTCCCGTAATACTGCTATGGCTGGTCTGGAATGGCTGCAAACACTACAAGAGTAATACTTTCAGTCTGTCTGGACACAAAACGCTGCCATTTGGACAAGATTACAACCCAGAGACAGTCCACAGCTCTGAGATGAGTCTGAGCAGAATAGAGACAGAAATTCCTCCTGAAGAAAAATGTTGCACGTTTACTACAACCTTTTAGGATGACAAAGCTTGTGTGAATTTTGGTTGGAAAAAAATAATAATATCTGCTATTGACAGATAAATAGCACGAACACATATTTTATTTTTAAGTGCATGGACTTTTTGTATTTGATCATAATAATAATAATAATGCAGCTTTAGTTCATAGGGATACTCAATTATGGCAAAATCCTAATAAACATGAATTAGCTGATGAATCAAATCTATTCATCATGTTGATAAAGTATTAACCAATAACATATAAAACAGTTACGTGTATATATATTATGAAAGTACAAACCAAAATTCATGGAAATTGCTTTTACATCAAAATTGTAAAAGAACAGTAATGTTGTAGAGTTGAAGGACAGTGATGATGCAGAACATTTAAAGACATTTATGGACATTTATGGACATTTATGGACACCTTTTGTCTCCTGTGGACCAAAAGGTGTGTATGTGTTTGTTATTGTTTTTTCTGTGTTCGAACTGTTTGACCCCAGTCCTTTATTCCCTACATTGGCTTCCAGTTTCGTTTCGAGTTGATTTTAAAATGTTACTCTTTGTTTTTAAAGCCCTCAATGGTCTCGCCCCTCCAGACTTGTCCGAACTTTTGACAATTCGTGACTCATGCAGATCCTTGAGGTCATCATCTCAACTCCCCCTGGAAGTACCTCGGACTAGGTCCAAACACTGGGGTGACCGGTCCTTCTCAGTCGCTGGACCCAGACTCTGGAACAAGCTGCCTCCTGATATGCGTGTCCTCACTGATTTTGGCGTTTTTAAATCGAGGCTCTAAACGTATTTGTTCAGACTGGCTTTTAACACTTTTATCACTCAATAGCAGGTGACACTTTTTAAATGTTTTTTTAACTGTTTCATTGCTTTAATGTATACATGTTTTAAATGGATTTTATGGAATTTTATTGTGAAGCACTTTGGTCGCCTTGAGTGTTATAAAGGGCTCTATAAATAAAATTGATTTATTGATTGATTGATTCTTCGATCTTTTGCGGGATTGACAACCTCTGAGATGACTGCTGTTGTGATTTAGGGCTATACAAAAACAAACTGAATTGAATATTACCTCTGCCAAGGCACAGGTCAGTCTTACAAAGCAGAAGCAGCAATATGTAGCTTAATGTCATCAATTCTATTATATTTGACTGATTTAGACAATGGGAAAAAAATTGGAGCTTTTATTGATCTTACAAAGTTAATTCGAATTTAATCAAGCATATTTATGTGGGATTGCTCAAGGACTAAGATCCACTAATGGTCCTTTAAACCGATCCTCGCCGCAGTCTTTGTGGATGTTACTCCTATCATATTGTCTCTAGTTTTTGTTAGAGATTTCAGGCTGTCCCAGTGATACATAAAAACCGACAGGCAGGCAGACAGACACACAAATGCAGTGAGCAGATTATGAACGTTGTGATTAAAATAAAAGCCCAAAGAGAAAGAGAGGTCCATTGTGTTGGAAAGAGGAGCCAATACATACCCAGTACATCTGGATCAAAAGAGGAAAATGTAGGGAAGCGGAGATGGTGGAGGTGGGGGAAAGACAGGATGAAAAAGAAAGGCCAGATCAGAAAATAAAAGCGCAAAATTTGGAACGTTTTTTTTTGTCTTAATTGAACAATAAATAAACAATAGCATCATGTGCGCAGCATAAAAGCCATATTTTGACTTACTTTTTATTTTATTTTATTTTTTTACAAATCAGGTCATTCTCCCTCTACAGCAGTGAGATTACGTTGACAAAACATATAAACTTATCAACAGGGATGTCCATTGGTTTCAGAGCAAAGTATTAAAAATGGCCATAGCCCCACTAACCCTAACCCTAACCCGGCTCCATAACAAGATAACATTATGTCATTGGCCATGGGTTAGAATAAATGTAAAGGAAGGTAACATGTGTTTACTGTATCATTAAATTAAACATTTATACAAACAATACCGCAATCGTTTATGTCCTCATGATATGAAACACAGATAGCCTGGGAGCTCAGGTGGGTGTCCTGGATTTGCCTCAGCTTGTTTAGTGGATGTGTGTAATAGTGTGTTGTTGTTGTTGTTGTATGGTTGTCATGAGTGCGGTTGCTTGTGGTTGTGTGGTGTCTTACCCAGGCTGGACCGGGTGCTGGAGCGCTCGATGATGGTGTGCTTGCTTGGGTTGTTGAGGACCGAGCGTTTGGCCAAAGAGATGTCTGCAGTGACCCGCGTGATGGATATCCTGAAAAGACAGGATCGCTGTTCAGTGGAGTTAGTATTTGTGATTTCTGCCGGAAAATCTAAAAGTCCTTGGCCCGAACCACAGGTCTGAAATCGTATTTTTGTAAAATGTTTAAGGCCACTCTTAGAATTAATACAAATCAAATCAGTCAAGGCTAGAGTATAGCTGGGAATCTGAAGCCAAGGTAAATGAGGAAACCGGATTAATAGAAATTATAGGACTACCTTGATATTCTTAAATACAGATTAGGACCTTTTTAAACATCAAGACAGCATATGGGGCTTGGCGGAGGTCTGCGTTTCACGAGTGCTTTTCTAGCTCCATCTGTGAATCATTTCTCAGGAAAGATTTCCCATAATGCACCATGACCAACTTTAGTTTATGGTCTCACAGACAAAACGTCATAGTAGCTTGTAGCCGCAGCTCCTTCTCCTCTGTGTCTGGAGCAGGAAACATGCGGTTCAGAGGCCAGTGACCTCGAAGGCACCGACTTTGGAGGAAATATCCACAGTGTTCGGTTTGAAAACACAAACATAACATACAGGAGCTTTGAACTGACCTGCCCTCAAACTTGTGTTTCAGGAAGTCGAAAAGTGCCTTTTGCATCATGTCCGTCACCTACAGACACAGCACATAAAGAGGAGTCAATATCGTTGCACACAAAGACAAAGAATAACATTTATATTTTTTTATACAACGCTCATTACCTCATATCCTTTGAGCGAGGGCCCGACCAGGATGATGGGCCGCATTGATGGAACCACATCGTACGGCGGCACATGCTCCATCTGAGACAAAACACATCAGTCATGAATTGTGCATTAGACAGTGTGTGTGTGCGCGTGTGTGTGTGTGTGTGCGTGTGTGTATCTATACTGTATATATAACCTATACATTCACACAGTTTTAGCCTGAACATAAATCCATTTGAACTCCACACAAATGCCCCCCGTCTCTGCTTCTGTCGTCGCCCTCAGATTGATAGATGTTGGGGCTTTCAGACTATGCGGCGAAGTCCATTCATTTTATTGACAGCTTATGAATGTTCGGGAGCCAGGATCAATCCCTGCTCTGCCTCGCTCCTCGTTCTTTTCTTCGAGCCAAATTAAAATAGAACTAATTAGAATGGAGGCGTTTGTGACTGCAGCTTTATTGTAACGCTCTCACGCTTCACTTTTCACTGAGAGGATGCGTGTCTGGGATTTAAGACCAGGGCTATTGCTTAATCTGTGGATGAGTCTGCTGCTGTGCTCGTGTGGACCTCAGGGCTCAGACGGTGCTTTTTAATTGAGATTTGAATATGTTTAATAACTAGTTTGGTCTGAGTTAAATGAATTAAACACGAGCTGAGCTTCAATCTGTAGCTATAATGAATAACTCAAATGTAGAATTGACTAATGGCTGAAGAATCAGAAAAAAAGAAATTCGGAAATTTGTATCTTGTTCATTTAATTCTGTAATTCAATCTAAAATGTGAAACTAATATACACTCATTACATACAAAGTGAGATATATATCTCCTTTATATCTCCTTAGTAAGTAAGTACTCTTTTATATAGCGCCTTTCACAGACCAGAGTCACAAAGCACTTTATAGTTGTTGTGGTCATTTGTCTCTCACTCCACACAGAGATGGGAGTGGGGTCGCCATAAAGGAGGCACATGCCAGAAACTAGAGCACCCGGAGGAAACCTACGCAGAGTAGACACAGGAAGAACATGCAAACTCCACACAGAAAGGTCTGAAGGTGGAATCGAGTACCCAGGACCTTCCTGCAGTGAAGCACAAGCGCTAACCACTGCACCAACGTGCTGCCCATAATGTTAATAATTATGGCTCACAGCTTGCAAAATAAAATAAATAAAACATCTCAGAGAATAAGAATATTTTGAATATGGCTATTGGCTTCATATGTTCAAAAGTTGAATTACAGAAAAATAATATTATAATTTTTAGTTTCACCTGTTCTATCCAATCCGCTTGTTTGAGTCTATTTCCGATGAAACAGTGAAGTTCAGTGCTGCAGTCGGTGGCTGTTGTGGACCAAATAGTTTTTTTGACTCTGCAAGTGTATTTTTGATCTTGTAAAAATATAGAAATTCATTTGTAAGACACATAGTTCCCAAACTTGATATTTTTTGTTTAACTTTAAAAAAAAGCCTAACATAAAATAGGTACTTTAACCATAACAATTAAAAGTTCCATAATATAAATGTCATCTGTGACCAGGAATCTAAAACACAGCCTCTTGGCTGTACAGTTTAGATTATGATCAATGCTTGAACATTGAGCATTTGTTAACTCCAGATCTGACTCATTAAAGCAGCACAAAGAAGCCTATTGTTTATGGAAATCATTATTGTAATATATCGGATTAAAGCTGGTTTGTGCCTATTAAGTCTGGCCCACATAAGTTTCAATTATAAAGCTTGTTTAGACCTATTATATCCTTTTCCACCAAGTCGGTGCCGGTTCTGGGCCCGTTCCTTTTTGTTAAACTCAAAAAATGACGGTAATGTAATCCAGCCCTGACTCAGCCCCATTTCAGACCAGGGAAATAAATGAGAACCAGCTCTGGAGAAACACTAAACACAAACATTGTATTGCACCTTTAGCACTTTGTGAAAAGTAATTGGTGCCTAAATGTGCCAATGCCAGTGGCACCAGCTCAGAACTGGCCCAGAACCAGAACCTTGGTGAAAAAGTTATTAGTCTCGTTTCTTTTTTAGTCTTTCACTTTATTATATTTTACCAGTGATAATATCGTTAGAATGCTCATGCGATTGGCCAGACAGATACAGCCACAAGCTCTCCACAGCATTATAATCTATGGACCATTTCAAAACATGTTTACCCATGAATCAAATCCAGTAACTACAATATATTCAGAAGATTGAACTTCCTTGGTGAAAGTTTTCATATCCCTCATTGCTTTCGTTTATATTCTGTACATTGCGACTTCGTTATTGATTATTCATAATGTGAATTTGAATATAGGGCCACTGTTTGCTTCCAATCTCCTTTATGTGACCATGGACAATATTGTGTATATATAATGCCACATTGTATAGCAATGCATTTTCCCTCAGGCTTTTTACATGTAAATCCAATTTTGCAGCTGACAGTGTGATTTATACAGAACACCCACACAAACCAACGGCAGCGAGTGGAGGACATATGCAAACACTTTGAACCATGGAAAAAAAAACTGTGTAGTACCAAGTTTGCATCCTACCCTTCTCACTGGTACAAAGAACGTGTCTTTTTCAGTTTTATTTTGAGTAATCCATTCGCAGAGAGCTGGTGTGAGCTTCTGGGGGCTGCCTTTACGTGTGTGGGAGCGGATTGGATTGAAGTGGCCGCACACATCACGATACATTACATTACATAAAGCTACAAATAGCATATTGTGAATGGTGCTAAAAGGCTCTTGTGAAAAGGACAGGATGTGACCAAAGAGTTGAGTACGTGTTGAGTACTGAAAATGGCTTCTGAGTAACGAGTGAGGCATAAGTCCGATGACACCAGCGTGAACAGGGTCAGAATGTTATGTGAAAGAAATAAAACAGATACATTTGTTTTTAGCATCAAAAATAGGCCGTGTTGTGTAACTTAGAATACATTTCTATCAGTCATGAAGAAGTAGCATCTTGTTGTTGTACAGTATGTCTGTGATGGCATAATCTGCTGCTCCGGCATGTGTCAGGTCCATAGAGGTCTCTCAGAGCAGTCAATTTGACGGATTTTAGTTTTGGAAGTGTTGTGTAACTTGTGTACATTTGTGGCCTTCATAACTTTGTGACTTTTTCTCTGTCTATGTGTAGTTTATTTCTACAGCAATATTAAAAAAAATGAATTTAGCTTTTACTTTTGAAACGTGAGCAGTTAACATTTGGTAGCCTTTCAACAAACTGTTTTTGAAAATTTAACATTTTCGGGGGAATTTATAGGAATTCATTTACTTCTGGCTGTGGGAAGTAGTTTCATAATTCTGGGTTAAAAAGTGTTGAACTACTTGTGTTTTGGCTTCAAACTGCATTAAATGTGAGTGATGCCTTTAACACAGAATGAGTTGGTGGAGAGAGGTGTAGGGTCAGAGAGTGTTTGGGCCTGTGCCTTGTCTGAGTGTGTGTGTTGTCTCGTCTTATACCATGTACTGTTTAATATTACATTGAGTGATTGGATAAAGCCACATCGGGGTTTTATGTGGTACTGTTATAAAGCATTGTTTTTGTATCATTTTTTGTTGTTGACAATTTTGTACCAAACCATCTTATGTTGAATGGCACATTGAAATACACATTTAGATTGATACAGCTCGATGTTTTAACATATGCTACGATGAAGAAATGTCGGTTTAAATCTATTTTGGTGAACAACTGATGACGTTTCTCAAAGCCAGGTGTTGCGTCCCCCTCACATGTCTTCGGTTCTAATGCAGCTGACAGTGTGATCTGGGGATTGTGTGACAAATCAAAGCTTCTGTCTCCGATGTAAATGAAAGGCCGTCGGGATGCGTTACCGTGGCGATCTGACTAACACGCCCTGTCACCAGTGCTGCAGTGTGGACGAAACTCAGGCCTCGCAAACACAACATGGAAGATGCTCTGGGTTTGGTTCCATGGTCATAATCAAGATTTACTCTGTGACTATAAAACCATCAGTTTACATTATGCAACATACTGAAGCGATTAGAATGAGAAACTAATACTGTAATACATAAACATTGATTTTGAATAGGGCTGGTCGATTTGGGAAGAAAAACACAACTTTTTGATCTCACAATGTATATAGTATGGATATTTTAATAATTTTCAAGTAAACATTGTGGAAGGTTGTTACCGTTGCTGTTTAGGAAAAATGTTGCATGAGTCTTGATTGTGATGCAAATGTCAAACACGTGGCCTCGGTCCTCGTTCTACAGCTTGAGTCTTGGATCTATAGCCCTATGGGAGCGGGTCCTTTCCTCACAAAGGTTTCTTACTTTTCTCCCACTGGGTTTTAGAGTTTTTCCTTGCAAATGCAGGAGGGTCCAAGGACAAACATGGACTTCATCAACATCTGACCTTGAGAGACAGTAACTGCCCGACAGGCTGATCAGGAAATGTGTCTCTGTGATGGGGAGAAGTGTGGACTCTGTGGGAGCTGAAATGAAATGAAATGAAATGAAAAGTATCCATCTATCTATCTATTTATGAACATTGGTCATCTGCCACTTATGAACCAATGGCTCTATATGTTTTTTATTATTGCATTTCTTGTGTTTGACCCGTTTGATTATCTTATCTGTGTTGGCAAATTTGACGTTTTTGTTAAGTCCTGTTGTGATTTAAGGCTATACAAGAATACATTGAATTGAATAATCAAGATTGAGTAAAGTTGATAAAAATGTATTTGTATCAACTTTTAAACATTTTTCTCAACCTTTAGAGTTTTGGTACATCCCTAACTCAGAATATAATAAAATAATGTAGGCGTTTGTTAGAAGCAGTCGAACCACGAGGATTCTGTTTGACTTGAGGATGACAAGCATATGGTCTTTTTTGCTTTTGTAAAAGACGCAGCTGTTTAAAATCCTAGACTGCTGCCAGCTGAGAAAAAAATCTGTGTTTTCTGGTTTTAAAAAAGGTCTCCTTGAGCAGCTGAAAGACTGTGTTTTGTTTGTTTGGACAAAAAAGTGTTTGGTTTAATTAGTGCAATATCTTAAAGTTTAGGAAAGTTACGCAACTTCCAAAACACAATACACTACAGGATTAAGAAATACCACTACTTATACTACTACTATGACTACTACGACAATGACTACTTCTACTACTACTACTACTGCAATAACTATTTTTAATACTACTACTACAATGACTACTCCTACAACTACTACTACTACTACAATGACTTCTGCTACTACTACTACTACAATGACTACCTTTACGACAAATACTACAACTACAATGACTACTACTACTACTACTACAAAAAGTACTTCTACTTCTACTACTACTAATACAATGACTACTTCTACTACTACAATTTCTCCTGCTGCTACTGCTACTACTACAACTACAGCAATAACAACGAGATATAATAATACTTCTACTACTACTTCCTCTTGAATATTGAATGCACTAGAATGACTACGAGAGGCTACTTCGTAAATAAACTTGTTTTTGAGCAGGACGGACAGACTCAGATGAAGTAAGAAGACACATTATGTTATTTGTTAGTAAAGATTTCACACTCACCGATTTCTGTTTCTGTTTGGCCGGGCCACCTTCGTCATTGTCATTCCACACAAAAAGCAGCACCACAAAACACACAAACGAAAGAGTAGGGGGCCACACAAAACACAAAAGGACATTTTCGTTAGTGACAGTTTTTGGATTAAAGACGAGAGGTTTGGGAGAAGAACCAACTATTGATTCGAAGGGAGAGGCAGGAGCGCTTTCAGAAGCCAAAGTCAATCTAGAGAAATGCAAAGACAGGAGCAGCAGCCTTTTCAGTGCGGTTAGTTCAATGCATCTGACTGCAAAAGTACAAACACATTCAAAGTATCAGGCTGTTGATGAGGTGAGATCAGGAGAGAGGAGGTTACAACAAGTTAGTTTCAAACCAGGGCTGTAAAACTCATACATAGATTGTTGTCAAAAAATTCTATAATAAGGTAAATAAGGTGTGTGTAAGTGTTCATATACAAAATCTATTGATTATTGTAAGTTTGTGTAAGCCCTCAGTCGTACAGGGATTAGTCAAAGCAAAGGAAGGTTTCTCACCCATCATCTGTACTTCTTAGCAAGTCTCGTAAACCTGAGATTGTTTACGAGTTAGTATCAGGGTTAGGGTGTGGCTTACCACACCCATAGGTTATAAATCTCCAACGCGCGGTCCGAGAATTCATTCCCTGAAGAAGTCCCCAGGTTGAGGACGAAACGTCGGGAAAACTTGCTAAGAAGTACAGATGATGGGTGAGAAACCTTCCTTTGCTATTGATTATTGTAATAATTAGATTCAATATTTATATTTTTGTGTGCAAATGTACAAAAGCCTCTCCTGACATTCATTCTCTGACAGGCTTTTGATTGTTGACCAATAGAATCAATATGGTGTATTTTGTAGAATATAGTTACGTTAGTTTGTAGAACATTATCACGATACAAAACTATTAAACATAATATGACCATAATAGTGAATGAAATGTGATTTAAAGCTGGGGTAACTAACATTCAAAACCTTCAAAAGTTCCTAACCTTCAAAACAGTTTGCTTCTATCACTATCACTCTATCACATACGTTGCATGTATTTATGTCACATCTTTTGATCAGCTTTTTGAGAGGACCACTCTTACTCAGCCAATCAGTTCTCAGCCGAACGAGTCAACTAGTGACACGCAGGGATCTTTAACACATATACAAAATATTTGTATAACATAATATTTGTTGAAGACAGCACGTTGTGGTGCGATACAGGTGAAACTAAGAAAATCGGAATTTGGTACAAAAGTTAATTAATATGTAAAGTCACATGTATCAAGTCTGTGTTTGTAATAATCATGTTGTTTTTGTTGATTATGGCTTACAGTCTTTCCAAATATATAGTATTTTTTATTTTATTTTTTACAAACTGTGAGCCCATTATCAACATTAAAAACAAATAAAGGCTTGATATAGCTCTGTATTTAACAAATCTATCATATATCAGTGTCATATTGTAAATTAAATTAGAATAAACTGACTTTTTGAATAGGATTCTATCTCCCTAGTTTCACCTGTATGACTTATTCAGGGGGTTAAGTCATAGTGGAGTTAAATATCTGTGCCTGGACAAATCTCCAAATGGTTTGAGTTGGACCCGCCTGCCCTCGTGTTCCCCAGTGTTCATTAGTCTCCACACGGATGCAGCAGAGGCCAGAGCGGCGCCGTGCCTCTGCCCTGGGTTACCTTCTTAAAAAAGGGCAGGCGGTGGATGTTGGCCTGATGGGGGGACGTAACGCTCCCCGACTGACTCTTGGGGGAGCGCGGTTCCCCCATCAGCTCCATCGAGTCGTCTGCTTCCAGATCCACAGAGTCCATGTCAAAACTGGCGTCGGGATGGACTGAGTGTGCGTTCGGTCAGAGGAGAAGATGAGGACGGAAGAAGACAAGAAAATACAGACACGAAATAAGGAACAGGTGATGTGGAGAAAGAGACGGAGAAAGAGGTGGGCACTGTGTATGAAAATAATAGGGTTGGTTTGAACTAGAAATCACATTTTAAATAGAATGTGTTTTGTTTAGGATTCTGTCATAATGCATAATTCTGTCCTAATCCTAATGCATAAAATAAACTAAACTTATTTCAATACGACTATACCACTATACAGGGTAAACAAATAGGTGTTTTTGTCCCTCTAATTTCAAATCCTACAATTATTTTTTTTTTTTCTTGTATTTTTTAAGTATATCTTGAAGATTTAGGATTACTGAGATTGGAAAAGAGGCATATATTTAGATTATTTTGAATATACATATTTGCCCACCTCTAGAATAAAAGAAATCAAGAGAGCTAAAAACATGGCCCACCCATTTCCATAAATGTTCTCATTTGAAATTACAGCTAAAAATCAGGACCCAAATTTCTTCCAATCCAACTTTCGAAATGTAAAAAGTGGTGATATTTTGATAATGTCCAACTTTGAAATAGGTTTTCACAAGTCATTAGAAAACATTTTCAGAATATGGATTTGGGCACCCAGTTTTAATCAAGGAAGACATAAAGGGTGAAAGAAAAATGTGCGGAAAAAATATAATGATGATACAAATTGTATGTAATCTTTATTTATATACCGCCTTTTCACTGCACATCGGAGTCTCAAAGCGGTTTACAATTGTTATTTTTTTGGGAGTGGGGGTGCCAGTACAGGAGGCACATGCCAGACCTATTGTACATATTTTTAGTGGTAGGGGAAACCGGAGTACCCGGAGGAAACCTACGCACACACGGGGAGAACATGCAAACTCCACTCAGAAAGGCCCTGGTCCAACCGGGATTCGAACCCAGGACCTTCTTGCTGAGAGGCGAGAGTGCTATCCACTCAGCCACCGTGCCGCAAATATGGCAAATATTATCATTGGAAATTTACACTGCTTTGAAAAGTACATACAAATATTGCATGAGGTGTGAGATAAATGTTGAAGAACGTCGCAGACCAGTCCCCAGCTGTGAAATTGTGTGAACAAAAGCAATGACAAGGGATTCAGGTTTGCTCTATTGGGCTTAGTGTCTGGATAAAAGTAGCCTTCTTACAGCGTTATAATATAGCTTGGACAAGAGATATGATAGAAAAGCTGAGAAAAGTAATAGAGATTCTGAAAATGGAGGAGAAGACTGGAAAGAGTTTGAAGACTGGAGATGTTATTGGGGGTTGAATATGTTTTGTGATTGTCATGATTACAAAAAAGTGTGGCTGTAAGATACTGAAACGGTGTGAAAATGCATGAAAACAAGTCTTTCTTTGAACTCTGGGTTTAAGATGCACAGTTGTTTTTTCATAATCTTGTACTGCTATAGACATGATAATATCCCCAAATTTACTGAACACAACTCATAGACAGCCCTGACATTGTCACGTATCACAGCCCACATTCACATTCGCTGTTTTCAATGTTGTTTATTCCTGCAGAACCTTTTTATTACGTTTTACAACAATCCACAAAATGACCTTTTTACCTGTGCCTGGAGGAGTCGGTCGGCGTGTTCCTGTCGCAACGTCCAGACTCGAACTTCCCCCAGATTTACTGACAAAACAAAAAAGTATACAACAGTTATTATCATGGACTGACAATATTTCTGTGCCAAAAGCTCCTGTTGCACCAAAGTAAAATCCACGTTAGTTTGACTTATTTTAAAAACTAGGTCCAAAAACTTGCCTTATTAATCAATTGGGTATAACTGTCCCACATTAGTTATCAAGTAATTTGAAATGAAGTACCTCCAGGTTAATCTTAAAGTCAACTCTACAAATAATAATTTCCATATAGTTCAATTGTTCTGACAGTCAAGAAGCTTTAAAGGTCCCTTATGCAATTTTTTTTATGTGAAAAACTTAAACCAGAGTCAAGAGTGAGTGGGCATCATGGTGCCTAAACTTTTGATCACGGTTGTGTCTACAGAGCTCCAGGATCCATTGTTTTGCGCAGGAATTCGTCATCAAAGAAAATCATCCAAACGTCTGAAAATATTTGTATTAAAAACTTTTTTCCACATAAAAAGTTGCATAATACTGCTTTCATTCAGTTGTGAGTCCATTAATCATAGATATAAGAACGGACTGTATGTTTTACAGTTATCCAGAGACGTTCTTGCTCAGTTTTAACATACAACATGTTTTAAATGTTTACTCTATTCCGCATTCTACAAAGCGGACGTGTGTTTACCTGGAGCTGAGGCGGTTCTGTCTCATCCTTTGTTCTTGTATCATTCGAGTGTTTTCTAGTTTGACGGGACTTGGGATGAAGCCGACCTCACAGCCCTCTTTTACCAGCCGCCCAATCCACCAGTCATTATTGTACTTCTGTAAGTGGGAAACAAACAGAACCTCAAATCAATCAAATCAAATAAAAAACTTTCTGTACAAAACAAGTGACTCTAAGTGCTTTATACACTCACAGTGAATTATCTAATGTGTTTGGAGCCGAAGCATAAACCACATTATTCCAGAGAAAAAGTCTTTGAAGCCACATCCAATGATAAACAACTAATATATTATGCATGATTACTTTGTTAATTTGGTAAAGAAGCTGGTACCTTTGCTTTTAAACGTACAATACATATTTTAATTTTACCTCTATGAATGTGGTCACTTACACCAGATACATACTGTGTCAATGGATCATCCTAGATTCTCACTTTGAATATTCTAACTTTTTAAAAATCAATTCAAAATTTGACATTTCCATTTCTCAATTTAGTTTCACAATGAGAATCTGTATGTTTTGAGCCCATGAAGTTACAATAACATGGGGAGGCAGAGATTCAAATGTGTGTGTCTTCCTGAAAATGTGAGACAGGCTTCTTGTATAGCACAAAAACTAAATATTATAACAATGCATGTGTGTAATTAAAGTATACAAACTTCTTTAATGTGTAGAAAGTCTTTGGCTTCGAAGGAGATGGCCATGCCCTGCACCGGGACGTCGTCACTGGGGCCGGGGTTGTAGCCGACGTTTGTCCGAACTGCGAAAGCCACTGGTTTGGTCTGACGCAGAGATTACAGAAATACATTAGAGAGAAACAGAAATGGAAATGATTACAACCATAGCACGGAAATATAAAAAAAAAACTAATTTAGCATGTTCATAGGCCTGACAGAAATGTATTATACAGTATAGAAAATAAATGATTTGGGATAAATGGTATTAAACTGTTCAACACCAAAATTGAAGGCTATTATTCTCATTATAATCCACATTGTTATAAAAGAATATATACATTGCATCAACAGCATATTTATAGCGTACAGAAATATGTTTATTCATGCATTATTTTTACAGCTCAGATATGATCCACAAAAAGAAAATTTACAGATGAGAAACAAGGATCCAAAAGAGAATCATTATTTTGAATGATGTCTCCATATATGAATGATTGGCTTGCATATTCCAGCTTAATAATATAAAAGCTTTCCATAGTTGTAAATCAGGCTAAAATTCGAGAATATCTCATTGGAATATTTCTGACCAACATTGCAATGGTAATCGGAATTATCTACTGTATATCCTGTTTGCATGACGAGCCTCATTTTGTTTTGTGTGAAAATAGCGACAACAAGAGAGCTGCTATTACTTCAAACAGAGTTCTAGAGTTTCTACAAGAAATAAAATATTTCAAAAATGTTAAATATACAGCAACGCTTGCCAGTATTTTGATATTTTCTCACAAAATTCGAGCCAGTCCTGAGTTTTGACGGTTTATAAGAATGATGAAAAATAAAAGATATGGAAAATAATGCTTATATCCTACAACAAAACAAAACATACTTGCTTGTTAGTTAATCCATTTACAAATATTCAAAATAAATTAAATACAGATATGCTTTTTCCATTTCTTGCATATTTTGCTTTCCAGTCTTTGAGAATTGCTAATCTTGACCATGAACCGATGTGATTGCAGTTATTTATGCAGCAGTACTTGTGTATGGAATGGGAGGATGGAACACGTAAACACGCTCTTCTGCCACTACACTGACCTTGGCTTTCTCGAGCGTGGCGAGCGCCTGTCGATCGGCCTCTTTCCTCAGCGCTTCGGGGTCTTCATCCAGAGACACGTCAGAGTCCGAGGGCCGGCTGGTGTACGAGTCTGCGGAGCCCTGGAATCACACAAGGAGCGGTCAGGAAATCTCCCTGTGTCAATATAATACTTGTATCTTAAATGTGTTACTTTTATCTGTGTGCAACACTTTAGAAACTTGTTTGATGACATTTGCTATATACAAAAAGCGGATTGGATTGGATTGAATGTGGTGCAGGTTGGGCTCAGCAATAGTGGTAGAAAGCAGGGTAGGGCAATACAAATGTGGTTATATCTTTTGGAGATTCAAAAGACTTTATTTGGTGTTTGGACTTCAACATCCACTAAAGAGCAGAAATGAACCAGTTTGAAAGATTACACCGACGTTTTTGCTGTGATGTCACAGAAGCTGTTGCCCTTTATTACTATTGTCAGTATCTTTAGTCTGTATTTTTTTGTTTGTATGAATGTGTTTCTGCTCCTGGACCCCTGTATTTACAGGGATCAATAAAGTATCCATCTATCTATCTATATCTCTTTCTGTCTGTCTCTGTATCTCTCTAAATATATCTATCTATCTATCTACCCATCTATCTATCTATCTCTAGGGAAAACCTAAAAATAGTAATTCTGGCTCACCTGATAACAGATTTTGCCAGTACCAACCATCTGCTGGGGTTCAGTAAGAATATTACAAACTGTTACAATCTGTTGTATCTGCTTTCATTGAAACAGGTGTGGTGTTATATTCTTGTTTGGGAATTTTGTTTTGAAAAAAAAAAAAAAAAGAAACAAAAGATAGATCCAAAACCGGCTAAATTTCACCTAACATACTGGCAATCCTCATTTGGATTGCGAGTGTGTTAGATGAAATGTTGCTCTCTTATTGGAAAATCTGCTTGATATATAAATATTCTGAACATCATATCCAATGTCATTTTAATTAAGAATAACTCCACTTTACATTTTTGTTCAGACCAGATCAACTATGATGACCATTTATCTGGGAACACATATAAGAGCTGAAAATACTACATAAGTTTCCTTTAACTCATTGTGTCCCATTGACGCACAAATACGTCAAAGCAAATAGTAACGTCGTGTGCCATTGACGCATTAATCCGTCAATTGCCTTTTTCGCTATTTTCACGTTCCCAGATGTCTATTGTATCTAATATATATGGGGATGACTTGAGACCATATTTTATCGAGCCAGCAGGTGGCAGCATTGCTCTCTGAATGGTTTCAAAACATGTAGGTGCACATGCTGTGCCTCTTTTTTCTCAACTTTCTGGTGATTTCTGGTGATTTCAGTAAAACTTCCCTCTACTCGACGGAGGATTACAGGGGAACGGAAAAAGCTATAAACAAAATTCTTTTTGCTGATGAAAGTAGACAGTCCATTCTTTTAGAATCTGGTGTTGGATTTCAGATAGTCATAGTACACAATATTCTGTGGGTCTTTAAATATCAGTAAAAATCATCAGAAATGGCTGGCACTGTGGGAGTACCTGTTCTGAAATAGGCTGGCATTCAATGTTAATCAAACTTCAGATAAAAAAATCAATTTTTTGGCATTTCTCAACAACTCTCCAATACGAACTTGCAAACTAACATTTCACAGTCGAGTCTATTCCACAGATTCCACAGATCCCCTGCTTTGTTCTGTGCCTTCAGTCTCATCACAAAAACAGATGAAACGCCAGATACTGTTTCCTGCTGAAATAATAAGTGTTCATCTTTTCACAGCGTGAGAGAAACCATCAAAATCAAAACCAAGCAACAGCAGCAGCAGCCTCCATCATCTCAGTCAATAAATATATCTAATTGCGTGTCTCTGCTGCGGCGTGGCCTTCGCTAATGAAGTAACACTTGTTCAATGATTTACAGAGACCCGCTCGAGTCTTTGTGCTCATGCGTTGGTCCATAGCTGACATAATGGGGCCTGGTCTCTGTAAGGGGACCCTCCTGTAACGTGAACTGGATACATAACATTTCCACAGGAGACCGCGGTGTGTTTATGCTCCGTGTGAGTGTGCGTCAAGTGGTTGGACAGGAAACAATATGGGAGCTTAGCAAATGTTATTACACCAGAAATCATTCAAAACATTTGGGTATTTTTGTATGAATACTACAAGGTTGTGATGGATTATGATAGAGTATGACAAACACAGTTGGCTATTACTGTATGTACATTAAAATTTCAATATTAGTCTGCAGGCTCTGCTGGTAGATTAAGATTTAGAAATCCTTTATTCGTCCGACAGTTGGGAAATTTCAGTGTTGTATCACCAGTTACAGAATAGCAGGAATGAGGAGCACACGGCACAAGATAAGTGACCTTATATTGTTCCTTAGATAGATAGATACTTCCTGTAGGAGAAATTCAGGAAAGAGATTTAGTCAGCAATTGTGATTCATACAATAAAATTCTGTACATTTGACAACAGATTTATTTCTTACTGATAGCTCAAAGTTTTCAAATTCAACCAAAAGATGCTGGATCTGGTGCCAGTCGAACCAGTGTTGTCACAAAACTAACATCATACATAATGTAACATCATAATGAAAAGATTCAGTGCTAGACACAAATGTTGGTTGATTTAAATCGCTATAATTCAGACAATAAGCTCTGATGTTAGAACATAATCTAACAAATAAAAGTATTGACTTTTTTCTTAAAGTATCAACTCAATCTTGCTTTGATGCTAGTTTTAGATTAAAGTCAATGCCAGTTGAAAAAAGTCTCATTCCTACTCCTTACAGATTGGATAGAACATATTTAAATTCTTGACTAGGCCCTGTGTCATCGGCCCAATTATTGTCTATAAAACAAATCTTCCTGGTGGTTGCGATACATGGCCATATGTATTCTTTTAAAATGTATCTGCGGTTAATTAAAACATACATCACCTTTAATATCTCTATGAACCAGAACAAGAGGCATATACAGTACACCATACTTGAGGCGCTTTGTGATTTGTGCAAGTTGATTGATTGATGATTGATGAAGTGTCTCCTAGTGACTGGAAACACAATTTTTACATTCCAGTAATAATATATACTTAATTATTATCTGAAATACTTTGCGCTTTTTAGTTGTAAACATTCAGATACTAAGAGACACAACTTTCATCATTGAAGTTCCAGCTTATACTCGTTGATATCAGCTGGTCAATGCTTCTGAAAAGTCGATAAAGTGTCAAAAGTTCAAATCCCATTCAGACTAAAAGTGAGTAGTTAAAAAAAAAAAAATCATTATCCTTGTATATGCAGCTCTGCACACTCTGGCACCTTCATATATTTCTGATTTACTTGTGCCTTATGAACCTGTGCACAGTCTCAGACCCTCGGACCTCACTCTTCTTGCCTGAAGGTAGGAGAAGCAGCTTTCTCCCATTACGCTCCTGTAAATGGGATCGGCCTCATGATCATAAATGTGTTCAGACCCTGAGATCATTTAAAGGGGACATAACCCGACTCTATAAACTCACATGTTTAGACTTTCCTTCTCCCTTATCTCTTTTGTTTTGCTACACTGTCTTTGTAAAGCACATTGATTTTCAGTTCTCTATGAAATGTGTTCATAGACAATTAGTAACTTTTATGAACAGCCCCCTATGGAACAACTAATGCATTTCCTGTGGTTTGCTTCTCTGATCTGTGTCGGCGAATCGAGAACTTTGTAAAACTCTCAGCGATGACTGCTGTTGTCATTTAAGCCTGTACAAAAATAAATATTTGAATTGAATTAAGATGTGACATTGTAGCTGCCCTAACTTTACTTGACTCTTTGCAATTGGCCCATTCCCATCGCAAACTATACATCCAGGTTTTGAAGTGCTTTGAATGGAGTAAAATGGCACTTTCTGTATTTTATTTTAGAGTTTTTCCTGTTAGCACGTATGACATGTGTGGGCGGCTCTGACAGGATAGCGGACAGATGAGAGTGAGTCATTCGCTGTGGATTTGAAAATAGAGGTGAGAATGCTCAAAAATGACGAGCAGCATATGCAGATGACGCTAAAACACACTGTGTGAAGGCTGACGAGTGCACACCTGGGATTTCTATCAAGATTCAGCTGCTAATTAAAAAGGTTTCGTTTAGAGAGACGCAAATACATACAGCTGAGTGGAAATCACAGGGTTATAAATTGTACGCTGCGGGAAAGTTCCAAGGAAAGTTTTAGAAATGGTTGCCAATTCATGAGAACAAGTTTGCTATAAAAGTGACTTGTTCAGACCCAACTTTATCAAAACTTGTTTCACTGCTCAAAACTATAAAACACACACACACACACACATTCTAAAAAAAGCAGCATGTGGTATAAAACAGTAGGTACAGTGTTGCTGGAATGTTCTGTGATATGGCATTAATAATATTGTATATACATTTGATTTAACAGTTGCTTTTTTTGGAGGTGAAAAAATGAAGAGGATACACATAAACGCACACACTTGTTCAAAAATACATAAATACAAAAAAGTTATGATGTGGCTCCATGTTAATCGGCCTAATGTAGCAATAACTTGATATTTGTTGGTGTATTATTTAACCAGGATAGTGCCATTGAGATTTGAGGAGCTCTTTTTTGGGGAGTCCTGAAGTTCCTGTAGTCTGGCTCATGCTAGACTGATACCTGAAATAAAAATTCAGATATCAGCGCAAGGTTTGGAATCAGTGAGATGGGTCGTTTGTCCATGTTTTTAGTCGAGGAAAACAGAGCACCCAGAGGAAACCACACAGGGAGAACATGCAAACTCCACTCAGAAAAGGCCCTGTGCAGACCGTGATTCATGCTGAGAAGCAAGAGCGCTATATATTTATAAACGTATATACATACATGTATGGGGATGGAACAGGGTTTTGTGCCGTGACCCGTGATTTTGTTTTAATGCATCTTGACATTACACAAAGGCTAAATTTGTGCAACTTTGAATAGCTATCGTTTAAATAGACCTAATGATTCAAAGAGTAAAGTCTATTCCAGTTTTTATTTTGTTTTGAAAAAAGTGCTGCTTAAGTTTGCATAATAACAATTCAGAAAGATGCGATGAGATATGCGCCCATCAAATCCA